GCTACCGTAAAGGAATTCCGTAACGTTTTTTCATCATTTTGTTTTCTTTATAAATCGTAAACCAGACAACGTAGACTTTTCGATTCTCTAAAGTTTAAATGTGCGAAAAGCAGTTGCCAGTATTTCTATCAGATCTTTAAAACGAGACATGTTATAGAGCTGAGACACACTTTGAAATGTTCATAGCAGTTTCTTCTTCAATTTAAGACGTGTCCCAGTTATCTGCGTCGTCTGGTTTACGATTTATAAAGAAAACAAAATGATGAAAAAACGTTACGGAATTCCTTTACGGTAGCAGAGTTAGCTGGCCACGCCAAGGAGTAGACTTTTATGACTTTTGCATTTAATAAAGCCGATATGGTTTAAGGTATCGATTATCATATCTTATAGTTTTATCACATGTTTTTAAAGGGCTGAAAAAGAAGGTAAAATATAAATTTCAGCATGTGCGCTTCTGAAAACCAGTTTAACCAAGGTCTGGAAGACACCAACTATCCAGGTATGCTTAGTTTTTCGGGCTCTATCTAACCATGTTCTCAAAGTGTTTCTGGCTAGCTTGTGAACGCGAAAACTGCAGTTTTAAAAAATGTTGACATTTTAAAATTTGAATGAAGATTTCTAGTTGATAGATGTTCAAAATGATTTTATTGATGGTATATTAGCATTAAAAGAAAATACTCTTTAAAATACTCTCCAGAAGATAGGAAAAGAAATAACACAATAACGTCTCTATATATAAACGATCGTTGTTCTTCCTTTTTCTGTCTTCTCGTTCGAAGTAAGCGTATATCTATCTACACCCAAAGAGTATTTTCTTCCTCATAGCGTTATTATAACGGGATAAGACAGAAAAGAAGAGAAAATCACTATTTTTTGCAGCTCTAATGAGTAATTAGATATGCTCAAGTTAGAATACTGAAGTTTTACACTTGCAAGATCCAATTCTTTTCTCTAGCAATTTAAACGAATACAGATATTTTCAATGTTACATTTTGTTCAATTTTTTGTGCTCTTTTAAATTAGATGTTGCTCAGTATGAACAAATGAAATGACGGTAAATTATAATCAAAATCCTCACAGTTTACTCATCCGTAATTTGATCGTTGTTGTCTTCGTAAAAACGCAAATCTCGCTCATTCCAATTTCGAAGGTTTAAAACACTTAGTTTTTCAGTAATATTGTGTATTGAATCTAATGAGATCATGAAAAAGGAGTGCTAAATATGTGTATAGGACGGTGTTTCGCAATTAAACGCTCTCTTAACGACAAATATTAGTAGCCTTTAGACTGCATTTATTTTAATCTTTCAGAAAAGACACTTGATTCAGTTTCCAGCATACAATCATCCACGAATAAAATAAATCAAAAAGTTTCATCGAATGCCTTAATTATAGTAGATGTTCAAAATGATTTTATTGATGGTACATTAGCACTAAAAGATTGTCCAGCGAAGCAAGACGGTGCAGAAGTTGTACCAATCATTAATAATCTATTAAAAACAGTTCATTTTGATACAGTCTTTTATACACTTGACTGGCATCCAAAGGATCACATTTCATTCTATGAAAATTTACATTTAAGAAAACATCTAATTTCACCTGAAAGTAGCGTAAATGGAACAACAGCGAAACAATATGATGTTGTTACTTTTAACGAACCGATCGGCAATCAGCTTTTATGGCCTGTTCACTGTGTTCAAAATACAACGGGTGCCAAATTGCATAAAGATTTGCTTGTCACCGATAATCACATATTCATATTCAAAGGTAAAAGATCAGATATCGATAGTTACTCGGCCTTTTGGAGTAATCAAAAATTGACGAAAACTGATTTAGACGAAAAATTGAAAGAACGAAATATTCGAAATGTCTATATTGTTGGTTTAGCCACAGACTACTGTGTTAGCGCAACTGCTCTACATTCTCTAGAAAACAAATACCGGACAATTGTGATTGAAGATGCCTGTCGTGGGGTGGATGAAGCAACAATTATAGCAAAAATAAATGAGCTAAAGCAGAAAGGATGCGAATTTGTTAAAGCACATATGGTCAAATCGATGGTAAATAGAGTCTAGATGATACTTCTGCATTTTTTTGAACTAAAGTTTAAAGTTCCATTCATTAACCGTGTATGAATTTTCGTTAGATCAATGAAGCTAAGAACAATAATTTTTTGTAATTTAACTTATTCAATAAAATTTACAGTATTTATATTCATAATACTTTTAAAAAGAAAGGAAGTTTCTTACATAAAATGTATAAAAATGCTACATGAACAAA